ACACGAGAACGCAAGTACGCACAAGTACGCATATTGAGAAAGGCCCCATGGATTCTGCTCTCGACCAGGATGAAGGAGAACCTTCCACCATCAGGACGGTGATCAGGAACACGGCGTCGAGGCTGTTCCTGCTGGAAAACCCTCGAATGTGACTGAATTCAAATCATTCTGCAAAGAAGAGCGGGGCACGCTTCCTCCACAGCGATGCCAAGCACTCGTTGCTCAGCTTCAGTTATGGTCGCACAACCAGGTGTTCGGTTTAGGGTGGAGTTACTTCTTCACACAGGTGGGTTTGGAGAGCTTCCTCCCTGTAAACCAAATCATTATTGATCATGTTAACATCTGTTTGATGATCTGTAAGTGTGAAAATAAACAGGAAAATGTTTTATTATTTCTCTGTTTTTGATCCACAGGCGTCAGTTTACTTGAGCTGCCTGATTCAGTTTGGTGCATTTGTGCTTTTTAGTTCATGACATCTGCACATACTCTGCATGCTTTAGGTCACTTTAGCCAAATGCAAACCACATGCTTCAGTTTACTTCAGCTACACAAGGACGATTCAGGAAGTCTTTCATAGCTGACGCAGCAACATCTGTGCAGCAGAGACTCATCTGTAATCTCAGCTCTGCATCGTCTTCTCACGTCGCTCTGCTCCTTTCCTTTTTTATTCAGCTTCGCTTTTGAGGTATTTTTACTCCTCCAGCTTCCTTGTTTGACTTTTCCCCTCGTCTCACACTTTACACTTCACTTTATTTCCACGAGCGTTGCTTTGCGTTGACCTCGATGCTGATTGTTGCTGATGGGTGTCGATGTTGTGTGTCTGCAGGGCAGTGCAGTACAGACGCAGGTACCTCCACAATATTAAATTTGATAACATCTACATCACTGCTCAGTTTAAAGACCTTGACCAAAGGGTGACCTCAGTAGGCGGAGCCTCTGTGCTTCCAATCACGCGCAGAGAGGCCAAGACCTACATCACACCACGTGAGTACATCCGTGTGTGTGTTTGTTTGTCAGCTTGTGTGACAGGTACACAGCAGGTGCTGGACGATGTCATCGTCTGTCCTGCAGTGTCGTTTCAGCTGACGTTCAGAGAGCGGCGGGCGGTGATGGCGGGCTTGGTTTCGGTCTTCAGGCACCTGATCGTAGGCGGCCTGCTGGTGGCGCTGGACTTCCTGGTGTTCTGGATTCTGGATCAGGTGCACCACCAGGTGACGGAGGACATCGTGGCCAGAGGTGAGCCAGCGCACCTGCCAAAAACAGCCCTGCGTTTCCACTGCGAGCGGTGACCGGCGTGACGCTCTGTCCCGACAGTTCCGGTCACGGTGGCGGTGCGGGTGAACGGGTCGGGTTACGCCTCAGACATCTACAGAGACGTGGTGGCCTCGTTCAACATCCTGCAGCGGGGAAACATCACCGTGATCAGCAGGAAGTGCCTGCTGGAGCCGTCAGAACCGAACCGCAACACGTGTTTCATCCTCGGTATGACATCACACAGGAAGTGAATCACAGTTGGCCTCGTTGAACTTTAAAGGAGGACAAACCACGTAAAGCTTGAATAAATCAGTGCGTGGCTGCAGTGACACCGGCGGCTGTAGCTGCAGCGTCTGTGCTGTGGACGCAGTTTTAATGCAGTCGTCTAATGAATAACATGATCTTTACTAACAGATCGATGAGTCTGATTACAACATCATTCATGCATCTGCAGCTTTTTGAACAATCGTCCGAGTTTTAGCTGTTAACAGATCCACAATCGACCCAAATGACCCCTGAACAAAAGAGCACGCTGCCATGAAAGATGAATGTGGTCTCAATCTAAGGACCTATACTTTCCCCACAGACACACACACACACACACACACACACACACACACACTTCTTCCTGTAGCACATCCTGCTTCCATCTCCTCTCCAGGTAAACAATGGAAAAGGAAAAGTTGGACCTTGGACCACAGTGTGCAACGTGACCCCCGCCCAAATCACTCGCTGGCCTTTCACCTGCCTCCAGGGCATCATCACCTCGAACAGCTGACTCCTTCACCAGGAGGCTGATTGTAACGAGATCATCGGTGTTATTCACCTCGGGCATCAGTGGTTTCATTTTGTTGCTGGAAGCAAAGTCGTAATAAAATAAAAGCCAGATTCCTGAGTTCATAGAAGCTTCCTGTTCTGGAAACGGGCCAGCAGCAGCAGAGGAAGAGGATTTAAGAAAAAACTACCCAGGAATGTGGAATCCGAGCGTTAGAGCGACGGCGTTGTTTTGTCTGAACACGCAGATGACTGGAAGCAGCGTTTGGAGCGACTGTTGAGAGACGCTGTGATGACAGAGCGTCTGACACAAACACGTCCTGAGCTCAGGAGCTTTAATCCAGCGTTGACCTGCAAACACCACGACAAAGACGAGCAGAGGACGAGTTGTTGTTTTGAGCTGAGCGACGACTCATCGGTCACTGATCCGTCCAGAGCTTTGGGAATATTTGAGTTTCATTGATTGATTGAATCTTTATTTTGAACATGTTGAAAAAGTACAACAACGTAGAATTAAAAGAGACAAATGAACAAAGCAAAACAAAAAGAAAACGAGCAAAAACAACTACAAATAACTTTCATGT